ATCAAAATTTGCTTCAATATCTTCGAATCTAGTGTGCCTAGAATTTTTTTCATATCACCGTTGAATTCGCCATGCGACCTTCAGTAAGTGTACCAAATTTCAAAACTCTAGTAAAAACAGTTCAAAAGTTATTGATTATAATAAAAATCGACTATTTTCAGTTTTTTCAGGATATTTCAGGAAATAAGAGGGATGTCCTCGATTTCTTTTGATATTTGAAATGGTCATGAAATTGTGCATTTTTTTCGTAATTTAACGTAGTTCGCATCTCTCTCCGTTTCCGAGTTAACAATAGTGTACCATGAAATTTGCATTACCCTGTATAACGCTCTTAAAAGAATAAAATGAAATGTTCCTTTATAATTTTAACTATCAACGTATAACCTCATTATACACAATTTATACGATCATAAAAGCTTGTCGCAATGATCAATATTCGATTAAATTGAAATTTCAAAAATTTCAGCAGATTTTACAAAATTAAATTAGTAAGTACTAGTTTAGTCACACAAGTAAATCGCGTGGCAAGCTTTTATGAAAATATAAATTGTGTATAATGAGGTCATAAGTTGATGGTTAAAATTATGAAGGAACATTTTATTTCATTATTTTTAGAGTTTTTAAATAAAAGCTTTTTATTACAATTTTTTTCTCACTTTTAATTTATTATCGTATCGTATCGTTAATTACTAAACAACCACTAAATTCGCTATTTTCCAAAATCGAATCAAATGATTAGACTGGCAAATATTTGATTACTTCAAAAGAATGGTAAAGATACCTGCAACCATTCTGGTATAGAAAATTTGATACATGGTACGCTCTCCCAGGACATGCAGGGGGCAGAAACCGTTTGCAATATTTATTTATTTGAACTTGAATTTTCTGACTATGGGCATCGGCAGGCAGACCTCCAGAACTTCTATTAGGCTGAAGATGGTATTTTCTAAGATCGAAACTGTTCCTGAGTTTATAACAACATTGTTGAATATTTGTGGAGATGACTTTGAGCATTCTTTCATTCTTTTGAAACGTTTCCACTCCACTTTGAGTAATATGGACTTCTACCCAAGACTAACACCTGTATATCTTATCGTCATTATCACGATGCGATTAACGCCTATATAAGTGTTTACACATCGATTGTGAAAGGGAGTGCTCAAGTTTCAATTACTGCCTACGTGACTGAGTTTGTTCGCAGAAAGGTCAGATTTTTCTGTAATCATTTTGATACCAATATTTTATGAACTGAGAGTTTATAATATCCCTTGTGGAAAGTTCGACAACTGAAAAAATCTCCCAGCAAACACTGGTTACCTGGAGATTCGACAGCCCATCAGTTTCATAGATAGCATACTGCTAACACTATTTTTCGGTAAGGAAAATGTACATAATATTCATTACTATTTCTATACAGGGTCCGGACGATTTAATAGGGACAGTATTGCTATCTCCTAAACGGTAAGAGATAGAAAGTTGCGTAATTTGAACCTCATCAATATGACGTTTTGCAATCTGGACAAATGTCAGCCGTTCCTGGAATATTCTGAGGAAACTGAAAATCACTGATATCGTTTTTATTTATTTTCTGCCTTAATATTAGAGGTAGAAATTTGAAATTTTTTTCGCTAATAGGTAAGTAATCATGACTAAGACGTTGGAATTGTCAGAAATATTCTATCATCAATATTTTTGAAGATTAACCATGCAACTTTCGTTTTTTTTATGGGCGCCATATTTGATTTTTATACCATTGAATAGAGCAAAAGATTTCCTTCACAGCCATGTGAAAACATATTGACATTATTGCATGAAACAGCACCAAGAACAGTAAAAACCATTTTTTGCTGGTTATCAGTGCCTAAAATTGAACTGCTCTACATTTTCTAATACGGTGGGGGCTCATGATAATGAAAGAACGAAATATCAGTCGTCATGACTACAGCATTTATACTTCTCAAGTCATCTATGACACGCTTCATCAATATGCAAAAAGGAGAAAAGGGCAAAGAAAAACCAAGATATCAATTTTTTGGTTGAATAAACAACATACAATTACCTCAACTTCATTTGCTCTGGAATAAAATCTGAAATCAGATTCAGTGTGTGAGAAAAAATTGGAAAGGAACATTCTCAGATATATTTATGAACACAAAAATGGATATATATATAAATATACCGGGTGTCCCATTTTAATCTTTATTTGGAAATTTCTCGAAATGTATACATCTGACAAAAAAAATTGCCGAATAAAAGTTGTATGGTTTGGAGGGGGACGTCTGGTTATAAAACAAGTTTCACCCCCTGACCCCCAGGGGAGTAAGAAATGGAGGTAACATTGAAATCTTCAATGGAAACCCCTATTTTTTATTGCAGATTCTGGAAGAGCATTAAAAACTATGAAGCTTTTATTCGGGAACTTCTTTTTTATTTTCACAAGATGGCGCTACGATAGTAAAAAACTATATTTCACTATTTACACATTTCAACCCCCTGAAGACGAGGAAGAGTGTAGGGTGTGATATTTTCCCAGACAAACGCCATTGGGGTGATATTCACCCGACAAATTAACGCTAAACGAACTTACTCACCTTGACACCTCTACATAGAAAAGAGAAAAATAAGCATGGTTCAGCAATTAAGGTATCATTTAGGTCAGACTAAAGCTGGTTTTAAGTGAGATTGACTACTTTATCAAGTGTTCGGAATGACCTCCATTTTCTTGAATACACAAGTTCACTCGTTTTTCAAAATTCCGCACTGTCGCTTCCAACATAGCAGGATTAGCAGGCGTTAAAGCCATGCACGCTCCTCTAATTCTATCTTTCATATTCTCGCGTGTGGTTGGGGGTTCGCGAAACACATTGTTTTTGATGTAACCTCACAGAAAGAAGTCTGGGGAAGTCAAGTCGGGTGATCTGGGTGGCCAACTACAAACTAAATAGTAAAATATTGTTTTTCAAGATCGCAGCGCCATCTTGTGAAAATAAAAAAGAAGTACCCGAATATAAGCTTCATAGTTTTTAATGCTCTTCATGCATTACAAACAATATGTTTTTTCTGTGACGGGAAAAAAGTTTGAAATTTCATCGCTGTTGACAGATTATAAAATGTCACTTTTCATAAATTACTTTTTTCCGACGGGAAAAAAGCGAGTACTTCTTTCCCGGATATACAGGGTGTCCCTAGACCAGTGGGACAGTTGAATATCTCCTGAACCAATAGGAATTTTCAGAATATTATAATTTCACATCATATCGCATTAGGAGTGCTAACTTCAGGAATGACTATATTCTCTACGAGGGGCGCAAGAAAGGCTCACAAAATCGAACATCAATTTTTCCAAATGGAACACCCTGTATTTCATTGCATTTTCATATTTTCCTTGAAGAACTGAATTCAACGACCTAGCACATTTGGGGTCTAGCGGGAAAGATTTTCGAGATATAGGGTGTGGAAAATCGAGATATTTCATTTTTGGGAAATTTTTGTGTCAGTTTCAGTCAGAATTCTACACCACCCTGTATTTGTTTCAATTAAATACGAGTAAATAGTAAATAGAAAGTTGAGATATGGACATGTGAGCCGTTTTGGCCAATAATGAATAGTTTTGACACAAAAAATTCCCAAAAATGAAAAATATCGATTTTCCACACCCTATATCTCGGAAATCATTCTCGCTAGACCCCAAGTGTGCTAGGTCGCTGAATTCAGCTCATCAAGGAGAATATGAAAATGCAATGAAATACAGGGTGTTCCATTTGAAGAAATTGATGTTCGATTTTGTGAGCCTTTCTTGCGCCCCTCGTATAAAATATAGTCATTCCTGAAGTTAGCACTCATAATGCGATATGATGTGAGATTATAATATTTCGAAAATCCCTATTGGTTCAGGAGATATTCAACTGTCCCACTGGTCTAGGGACACCCTGTATATCACATACCCAGATAGCACAGGATATGAATATTATGACAAATTTCAAATATACTTATATTATAATATTCTAATAGAATGTTCTCAGAATGATCATAGAAAATTCTCATTCTGCAACGAATATTCTTTGAACATTCAATTCGACATATTCTTAGAATATTCTGAAAATAGTCTTATCGAATTTTCTGAGAATATTTAGAATCGTATCGAAATATATGATATTGATGTTCCTATTCTTGTATCAATATTCATAATGTTCACCCTGACACAACCTATTATCATCTATCCCACTAATTCATCGATGTTATCTTGATATTCATTTTATCCATCAAAAAAGTCCGTGGCGAAGTGGTAAGGTTTCTAGGAATATTCTCAGAATATTTGGAACAATCCATTCCGAATGTTCATAGAACGTTCCTAGAACATTTTTATCATATTGTGAGAATATTCTGAAAATATTCAAATATTCTCGAAGAATATTCTATGAACGTTCTACGAATGACATTGTGCTATCTGGGTATAGATACACTATTGATGGCTTTTGTTGTGCTATAGTTCCGAAAAATAAACGATCAACACCGTATCCGAGAGTCTTTTTCAAAGCTTTTATTCAACTTGCAATGAATGTATGGATGTATGTTAGTTCTGGTGGAATCTTTGAACTCAATTTTGAAGTGGATATCTTCAACCGATTGAGCTGAAATTTTGTATACACGTTAAGTTTGGATGACAATGCACGATAAAGTGTGTGAAGTTATTCTAAATCCAATATGGCGGACCATCCAAGATGGCGGAATAGTTATTTTTAATGCACTTCTACAATATGGGTATCAAATGAAAAGACTTGTTGGGAGTAACTTGAAAAATAATGTGTCGTCATTCTAAATCCAATATGGCGGATTATCCAGGATGGTGGAATAGTTATTTTTGATTCACTTCTACAATATGGGTATCAAATGACAGAGCTCGTTGAGAGCAACTCGGAAAATGATGTGACGTCATTCTAAATCATACTAAGTCTGTGCAATTTCCAGCAAAATATAGTCACGGAACCGCGGAACGAAGAATGCTGCCAATTGTAGTATGTTGGGCTTGTCCTTGTACAGTACACAAAATGCAAGGTAGTATACTGTCGACTACGCCGTTATTTACTCAGGCTCGAAGCTCTTCGCTGCTGGTCAAGCATACGTGGCTTTAAGTGGGGTAAAATCATTAGAAGGTCTCCTTATTGAAGAGCTGGAATGTTCGAAATTAACCGGCAAACGACCTTGCAACAATGATGCGTTCAATGAAATGAACAGACTGAGAAACCTAGCCAGCGATAACTAAAAATTGAAAAATAAATTAAAAGTAAAAAAGTATTTGATGAAGAGCTTTTTTTCTGTGACGGGAAAAAAGTTTGGCATTTCATCTCTGTTGGCAGGTTATATAATGTCACTTTTCATAAATTACTTTTTTCCGAGAACTGCAAGTCCATTTATCTTCCATTCGACTTCGCGGGTACGTAAATTACTAAACAACCACTAAATTCGCAATTTTTTGAAATCAAATCACAGAATTAGACTGACAGAAGTGAATCAGATATTTGATCACTTGAAAAAAATGATAAAGATGCCTACAACGCAGGTGTCCCTACTGTAAAAAACTTAAAATTTCACGTCGATAATTTTCAGATTTCAAAATAATGTAATATCTTCTCAATATTGATTCGTCCTTTCATCTGTCACAGAAAAATATTAGATTTTAGCTCATTGTTTTTTGTCTCCCTCCGCTACGCGTCGGGAGACAACACAACCTGGAGCTGAAATCTACTACTTTTTTCTTCCCTTGTATAATAAATAACTATAATACGAACTATACAGGGTAATGCAAATTTCATGGTACACTATTGTTAACTCGGAAACGGAGAGAGATGCGAACTACGTTAAATTACGAAAAAAATGCACAATTTCATGACCATTTCAAATATCAAAAGAAATCGAGGACATCCCTCTTATTCCTGAAATATCCTGAAAAAACTGAAAATAGTCGATTTTTATTATAATCAATAACTTTTGAACTGTTTTTACTAGAGTTTTGAAATTTGGTACACTTACTGAAGGTCGCATGGCGAATTCAACGGTGATATGAAAAAAAATCTAGGCACACTAGATTCGAAGATATGAAGCAAATTTTGATTTTTCTAATGGTCGCCATATTGGATTTTTGCACCATCCGATAGATCAAAAAATTACCAATTCATCGATGTATCACACTTCCATGTTTGATGATGGAATGACGAAAATACAGGAAAAATAGAAAATTAATAATTAAGTTAACGTATAAGATCTGCTATCAAGCTTACAATTTCAGAAATTTTCATTAAACGTAAAAATAATAATATTGAACTCAATTTCTGAGGTGCTCGAAGTGACCCCCTCCATTTCAAGACAAAGTGCAGCTCGACTGCAAATGTCATTTGCTGCTCTCCGTATGGTTGCTTCCGGTATTGAATTAATTGTTTGTACAATTTGTTCTCGCAAATCTGCAGCGTCTCCTATTGTTCTGGCATAAACTGTATTTTTCAAATATCCCCATAGGTAATAGTCTAACGGATTTAGATCCGGAGATCTAGCGGGCCAGCGTACTGGACCGTTAGTGCCAATCCACTTCCGTGGAAACATTTGATGCAATGTCTGGGTAACCAATGCTGCATTGTGAGCAGGAGCACCGTCTTGCTGAAACCACATTTGGTGGATCTGATTAATGGGAAATCCATCCAATGAGGGTTCAACACTATCTCTCAACAGGTTCCTATAGTTTTCTCCGTTCAGGCGATCTTCAAGAAAAAATGGACCCAGAATTCGACCATTGAAGATGCCACACCAGACATTAACCGAGAATCTTATTTGATGACGTGATTCTTTCTGAGCTTTAGATTCTCTGTGGACCAATAATGCTCATTGTGACGATTGAAAAGGCCATTATTTGTAAAAAGGCACTCATCTGACCACAGCACTTTCAATGGAAAATTTACATCATTGTTCACCCTATTCTGTAACCATTCACAAAAAAAGGATCGCCTGGCAAAATCTTCTCGACTGATTCCTTGTACTACATGATAATGATAAGGGTGGAATTTTTGCTTTTTGAGTATTCTACTAGCTGTAGATTGATGGACATTACACTGCCTTGCAATAGCATAAGTTGATATGTTTGATTAATGTGCACTTGTGCTAGGATATTTATAACGTTAAGATTCAACCCTCTTCTCATTCCATACCTAGGTGAATCAGAAATTCATTTATGGAAGAATACAAAAATGTTAATACAAATCTCACCTTGAACGCCTTGTTGCCTAAGTTCCATCTAGTCTGATCTTCTGTGCAATCCTTTGGAAATAATGTCGCGAAGGCTGAATCCGTTCAGGGTATAAATTTTCATACATTTCACTAGCTCGCGTCGAATTTCGAAAGCAGCGAATGTAAACATCATACATATCACTCCTTTGTCAATGCTGTAAACATTCACCATCTCAATTTGGTTTCAGTAGAGATGTGAACAATTATAATTTTCAAATTCTCAGAATGACAGATGAATTTTTAATGTTCTAATATCCAGAACTGAAAACTGGACATTGTGACAGCCGCCTCCTTGACATTGATGAACTGGCTGGCACGTGTCGAATCCCGTAAACAGCGATGTACAGGATGTTTCTTAAGTATGTGTAGAAAATTCAGGAGCAGATTGTGATACGAAGCTCAAGAAAGAATCATGCCATCAAAATATTATCGGTTAATAGGTGATACGGCATCTCCAATAAACGAATTATGGGTCCATTTTTTCTTAAAGATTGCCTGGACAGAGAAAACTATGAGTTTCTTTTCAACCGAAATCACCAAATGTGGTTTTAACAAGATGGCGCTCCTGCCCACAATGCTGCATTTGGTTTCACAGATGTTGCGTCAAATGTTGAACAAAGATGGATTGGTCCAGACGGTCCTGAGCGCTGGCTTGGCCTGCTAGATCTCCGGACCTGAATCCATTGAACTAGATCCTATGAAGATATTTGAAAAATACAGCTTATTGCAGAACAATCAGAGACGCTGCAGATTACGAGAACAAATCGTATAAACAATCGATTCAGTACAAGAGGCAACCATACGGAGAGCAACAAATTACATTATTTGCAGTCGAGTATCACGTCGAGCACCTCAGATATTGAGTTTCATATTATTTTCTTGACTTTCAGTGAAAATATCTGGAATAGTAAGCCTAATAGCAGATCTTATACGTTAACTTAATTATTAATTTTCTATTTTTCCTGTATTTTCGTCATTCCATCATCACACATGGAAGTGTGATACATCGATGAATTGGTAATTTTTTGATCTATCGGATGGTGCAAAAATCCAATATGGCGACCATTAGAAAAATCAAAATTTGCTTCAATATCTTCGAATCTAGTGTGCCTAGAATTTTTTTCATATCACCGTTTGAATTCGCCATGCGACCTTCAGTAAGTGTACCAAATTTCAAAACTCTAGTAAAAACAGTTCAAAAGTTATTGATTATAATAAAAATCGACTATTTTCAGTTTTTTCAGGATATTTCAGGAAATAAGAGGGATGTCCTCGATTTCTTTTGATATTTGAAATGGTCATGAAATTGTGCATTTTTTCGTAATTTAACGTAGTTCGCATCTCTCTCCGTTTCCGAGTTAACAATAGTGTACCATGAAATTTGCATTACCCTGTATAACGCTCTTAAAAGAATAAAATGAAATGTTCCTTTATAATTTTAACTATCAACGTATAACCTCATTATACACAATTTATACGATCATAAAAGCTTGTCGCAATGATCAATATTCGATTAAATTGAAATTTCAAAAATTCAGCAGATTTTACAAAATTAAATTAGTAAGTACTAGTTTAGTCACACAAGTAAATCGCGTGGCAAGCTTTTATGAAAATATAAATTGTGTATAATGAGGTCATAAGTTGATGGTTAACATTTATGAAGGAACATTTTATTTCATTATTTTTAGAGTTTTTAAATAAAAGCTTTTTATTACAATTTTTTTCTCACTTTTAATTTATTATCGTATCGTATCGTTAATTACTAAACAACCACTAAATTCGCTATTTTCCAAAATCGAATCAAATGATTAGACTGGCAAATATTTGATTACTTCAAAAGAATGGTAAAGATACCTGCAACCATTCTGGTATAGAAAATTTGATACATGGTACGCTCTCCAGGACATGCAGGGGGCAGAAACCGTTGCAATATTTATTTATTTGAACTTGAATTTTCTGACTATGGGCATCGGCAGGCAGACCTCCAGAACTTCTATTAGGCTGAAGATGGTATTTTCTAAGATCGAAACTGTTCCTGAGTTTATAACAACATTGTTGAATATTTGTGGAGATGACTTTGAGCATTCTTTCATTCTTTTGAAACGTTTCCACTCCACTTTGAGTAATATGGACTTCTACCCAAGACTAACACCTGTATATCTTATCGTCATTATCACGATGCGATTAACGCCTATATAAGTGTTTACACATCGATTGTGAAAGGGAGTGCTCAAGTTTCAATTACTGCCTACGTGACTGAGTTTGTTCGCAGAAAGGTCAGATTTTTCTGTAATCATTTTGATACCAATATTTTATGAACTGAGAGTTTATAATATCCCTTGTGGAAAGTTCGACAACTGAAAAAATCTCCCAGCAAACACTGGTTACCTGGAGATTCGACAGCCCATCAGTTTCATAGATAGCATACTGCTAACACTATTTTTCGGTAAGGAAAATGTACATAATATTCATTACTATTTCTATACAGGGTCCGGACGATTTAATAGGGACAGTAATTGCTATCTCCTAAACGGTAAGAGATAGAAAGTTGCGTAATTTGAACCTCATCAATATGACGTTTTGCATCTGGACAAATGTCAGCCGTTCCTGGAATATTCTGAGGAAACTGAAAATCACTGATATCGTTTTTATTTATTTTCTGCCTTAATATTAGAGGTAGAAATTTGAAATTTTTTTCGCTAATAGGTAAGTAATCATGACTAAGACGTTGGAATTGTCAGAAATATTCTATCATCAATATTTTTGAAGATTAACCATGC